ATTAAAAACAATATAAAAAAATAATTTTTTGTTTAAATAAAATAAACTTATAAAAAAACATTAAAAAATTTTATTTTAATATTATTATAATAAATTATTTAAAAATAGTTTTAAAAGCTAATAAAAATATTTAAATTAATTTTTATAAAATAAAAACAATTATAAATTAAAAATTTAAAAACTTAAAAAGCTTAATATTTATTTAATTATTTTTAAAACTATATAATTTTATATAAATATTTATTTATTATATTAGCAAAATAATAAAATTTTTAAACTAACTACTAAAAAAGTTAATATTATAAAAGCTAAAACTTAAATAATAAAAAACTTTTAAAACTTTAAAAAAACTAATAAATATTACTTTAATAATTATATTTTTTAAATTTAGTATAAAAACTTAAATTAAAATAAACATTTTAAAAAATGCTATTAAAAATACTATTTAATAAAAACAAAAAAACAAAAAATAAAAGCTTATAAACTATTTTTTTAAAATAATAATAGCATTTAAAAAAGCTTATTTTATATAAAACTAAAAACTATTAATAGTAGTTTAAACTTTAAAACATTATTATTTTAAATTAATAAATATAAAATTTTAAATAATTATTAATTACTAAATATTAATTTATTAGTTTATAAAAAAAATACTATTTATTTAATAAATAAAGTAAACAAACTTTTTAAATAATTTTAATATTATTTTTTAATATTAATTAAACAAAAAAAATATAGTTATAAATATATTGTTTTATAAAACTATTAATTTTTTAATAATAAAAACTAAAAAAAAGCAAAAATATATATTTGTTTTAATTAAACTAAAATAAATTAAAAGTTTAATTATATTAATAAAAGTTATTAAAACAATTAAAAAACTAAATATTAACTTTATTTTATAAAAAACTAATTTAATAAACTTAATTATTTAAAAAAACAAACAATAAAAGTTTAAAAATTATAAAAATAAATTATAAATATTTAAGCTAAATTAAAACAAAAAATTTTTTTTATAAACTGTTTTATTATAAAAAATATATAAACTAGTTTTAATAATATATTAAAGCTAAAATAAGCTTATTAAAGCTATAAAAAAAACTTATTACTAGCTTTTTTTAAAATATAATATATATTGCTATATAAATAATTATTATAATTGTTATAAAAATAAACAATTAAAAAATAAAACTTTAAAATTATTATATTTTATATTAATATTTTAAAATGTTTAAAAATATATAATAATAAATAGCAAAAATATACTATTAAATAAATATAAATATAACTATATATAAATATTTATTAATAAATTTAGCAAAATAATTATAACTTTATTAAAATATAAAATAAATATAATAAAAACTTTTGCTACTTAATATTATTATTTAATATATTAATTTTTTAAAATATTTAAAATATAGTTTTTAAATAATATAAAACTTTTTATTTTTAAGTTTATAAAAATATTAAACTATTTAACTAATATAAAACATAAATAAAAAAATACTTATTATTTTTAAATATAAAAAGCAATTAAAAAAATAAACTATAATTTAAATTAAAAACTATAATTTTATATTAATAAATATTAAAACAATTAAAATATTTATTTATTAGCTTTAAACTTTATATATAATACTTTATAACATTTAATAATTAATATAACTTTAATAAAAATAGCTATAAAAATTAAACTAAAAAACTATTTAATTATTAATATTATAAAAAAAGTGCTTAATAATAAATAAGCAAAAAAAGTAGCTAAACTAATAAAACAAACAAAAAAAGTTTAAAAAATAGCTTATTAAATAATTATAATAGCTTAAAAAAAACAAAAATTATAAGCAAATAAAAAACATAAACCTATAAACTTTACTATAATTAATAAAGTTTTTTTAAACAAAAAAAGCTTATTTATAATAATATTAACTATATAATTAAATTTATAATTTATAAAACTATTTATTATACTAAAACAATATAAATATAATTATATATTAAATATATTTAATATTTATAAAAAAAAAAACTTATTTTATATTAACTAACTATAAAAAACAAACAACAATTTGCTATTTTAATAAATATAAAAAAAACTATTATTTAAAAAAATTAATAACAAACTTAAATATAAAGTTAATTAAATAAAAAAAGCTAAAATATTTAGTTGCTTTAAAAAATTATAATATTAAATTTTATAAAAAAGCTATAATTTTAATAATATTTAATATTTAGCTAACAATTTTAAAAATATGCTTATAGTTTTAAATAAATTTTATTAAAAACATTTAAAAAAATCTAAACTTTTAATATACTTATAAAAATAAATATATATAGCTACTATAAATAAATTTGCTAAAAACTATAAAAATAATAACTATACTAAAAAATCTAGCACTAAAAAGCTAAAAATATATTGCTATAAACAATAAACTTTAATTTAGCTTTTAATTAAAGTTTTAATTTTAATAAAAAATAATATAACAATTTAAAACAAACTTATACTTAATAAATTATATAACTATATATATAATAAAAAAATAACAAAACAATTATGCTATTAATAAGCTTTATATATTTTATTATATATGCATATAACTATATATATTTACATATAGCTATAAGCCACTTTTATATTTTTTTTTTTTTTTTTTTTTAGCTTAAAATTTTCGTTTATAAAATTAATAAACTAGTATTTTGCTATATAACAATCGTGATAATTTTTAAGATTTTTTAGTTATTTTTAAAGCTGTTAAAAAGTTTAAAAAAATACCAGCTTTTCTAAAAAAATATGTTAAATAAAAAGATTATATAATATTAAATTAGGCTAAAACATATACTTTAGACATAAGTACTGCAAATTTTGCAGGAAAAGTGTCCAACAACAATGATTAATACAATACACCCACTGAAATACACCGGAATCGCTTTTCTGACACATACTCCCTTCAAGTCCACCTTGATGTCACAGAGGCCTCCACGGGCCACTATCTAAAACCCAGGGCTCTAGTTAGGAGCTCCACTAGGGTAGGGAGATTTTAGGGGTGAACTAGGCAGCAAAATAAGGGAAAATACCAATATAACGGACTCGGTAACAAAATATCTCGACAACTTTGTCTGAATGATTTCTAGATGAGTAGCTCTAAATGTGAGGTTGTCGATCAATTGAGCTAGAAAATGGCATCAATTGACAACGTAGTGCGACCAGTAGGCTCACAGTAAGCCCCTAATTGAGCTCATCCTTCGAAGCATCATGGCTGACTTATAACTGCTTGTAGAGCCAAATTCCATACCGCCCGGCACAGCTTAGGCATTCTGCGCGCAGTAATTGTCACATGTCGATACAAGGTATCCGCAGCCTATCTACAGGAGCAATCGCTCACACTCCACGACGCAATTGAAAATGCGCTGGCGACCGTGGTCCTTAAGCAGGGGGTGCTCCGCGTCGGTATCACAGGCGAAGACACCAAAGAGCCCGCCTTCGTGCACCTCAAGACGATCGATATGCGTCGCATGATAGAGTGGAAGGAACTCACCATCCCAGTCTCCAGTAGCAAAAGGGGGCAGGACGAAGCACATTACGAAGACCGTCTGCTGCGCTCCCTCGAGAAGTACCACGAGGTACTATGGGAGGACCTCGCGAACAAACCGGGCTGGAAAATCGTCGTGCATCACGACCCAAAGCAACTCGGTGCGCTACACTCTGCATCCGGAGAGGGTGAGGGGTTGTTATCCTTCGACATATCCTTCTGCTTCCACCACGTCCTCTCAGACGGGCGAGGCGCATACATCTTCCACGGCGACCTGCAGCGAGCCCTAAACACCGCCTCCCAGCCGCCAGAGTTGCAGAACCACATCCTGCATCTCCCCACGGCCTCCATGCTCCCACCCGCCATAGACAGGCTCATCCCCTTCAGCCTGTCCTGGTCCTACATCCTGCGCACAGTGTGGACAGAGCTTCTCTACCCAGTGGTCGTGCCGCCCTTCCTAAGACGTCTTCTCCGTCTCGAACCCAGCGAGGCCGACATCCCATGGACCGGCGCGCCAATCGACGGGGCGAATCCAAAGGTGCACATACGCACGCTATTCACGGCCAACGAGGCCGCGCTGCAGAAGATCCTAGCGCAATGTCGCGCCCACAAGACAAGTCTAACAGGTTTACTGCACGCGTTAATCGCGCGCTCGCTGGCGCGACTAGTAAAAGACAAGGCATTCCGCTCCGTGACCCCCATCTCCATCGCCGGGTACGCCAGTCCCTCCGCCGCGTTCACACCCAGCGAGACCATTCACTGTCTCGTGGCGGGCTTCTCATGCGAGCATGACCGTGGTGCTATTCGGCGGCTGCGCGACGACGATGCGGCGTTCTGGGGGTTCGCGCGGGATATGACGGCCCGACTGCGCGCCAAGACGGCCTCGCTGCCGCGCGACGACCTCTTGGCTCTGTATGGCCTCGTCGGGGACTGGCATGAGTTCTTCCGCGGTAAGTTTGGGAAGGCGAGGGATGGGACCTGGGAGCTGTCGAATTTGGGCAGTCTCCCCGCCGCTGATGCGAGTGTCTCATCCGGGGACGAAAAGTATGGGGAGTGGCTTGTTGATCGCGCTGTCTTCACGCAGGGTGCAAACCCCGTGGGACCGGCTATTCATGTCAATGTTGCTGGTGTCGCTGGAAATGGAGTCTACGCAACTGTTAACTGGCAGGATGGTATTGTAAATGCCGACCTCGTAGAGGAGTTAGCCGTTGATGTGCAAACATGGGTAAATGAGCTCGGGCAGGCTTGACAATGTAGTCGGATATGCCAGATTAATGTATAATGTCTAGTGCCTAAAAAGAAATATTGATTTTCTCATGATCGAGGTTTTCCATAGTGATCGCACTCCATTCTATGTATATGGGATTACAAAAATGCGTGCCATGCTGAGAAAATTAAAAGAGACAAAAGCAAAGCATTGTATGTACATGGCCGAGGAGCGATATAGAAAATCAAAGAAAAAAATGATTCTGGAGGTGAGGATCGAACTCACGGCTTTTGCATTTCTTATCATACGGTCTTCATTGCAGAAGAATGTATAAGAGCAACACGCTACCACTGCGTCACACCAGAGATCAAGGTATCGCGCTAGACTTGTTTTTGTGTGAAAGAGTTGCAAACTTGTGTTTTATACAAGTAATAAAATTAAATTTTTTACTGAATCAAGTATATTAGGTACATACCTAACTACATAGTACACTGCTTATAAACATAAATACTGCAAATTTTGCAGTAATTAAGGCAGGATATCAGGACCAACTACAAGGGTAAAGTAGGACTTTCGTTGTTGCGCAAGGAGCCTTAACATCTTAAGAGGCAGCCTTTAGCTATATACACAATACTGTCCGATTTAGTGGTGTGTGCGCTGTTGTTGTATTGCATTCTTACGTACAGTAGCCACTGTACGTATACATTCGTCTAATTGACTTTAAGACTACCTGCAATGTTGGATGGTCAGTCACACAAAGAAATGGCTGGAACCAACGTTTTCACCATATAATAGCACCACAATAGGTACATGGCCATAAAACACAGTTCGATGGAATAAGTGTCCCTTATTTTTGTTTACTTGCCATGAAGCTGCTCGATAGAAGGTCCGAAGGTTGTTTTCATCCGCAGGAATTATAAGTGCATAGGTTACAGCATACATAGTAGGTAGAAGGTCTCAGGCTGCTAAATGCCCTGATGAGTCCCTAAGCCTGTTACGTCGCACTGTAGTGATAGGCCGAGTTACCTCCTCTTATTGAAGCTACAACCACATCCAATACGTGAACTCGCACTAGTTGGGAATTGAAATGATTATAAACGTATAAGCCATTATGCAATAGCCATTTTTTACATGCGCACTAGGCTTGAGGGCGTGCATGATAGTGGGTGATTGAGAGCCTGCGGGTAACAGTGTGTATCTAGGTAACGTTACCGATTAGGGAGTCTTTGATACCCAATTCGATGAGGAGAGAAGGCCGCCTTAACGTTATGAGAAGGATTTTGCAATGCCCAGTGATATGAAAAGAGTAAAAAAGCCCTAAGTGACCGGCCCCATAAACTCCCGTTAATAACATATAGGGTTACCTCGTATCCGACGCCATCATTCCGGTTTCCTCATGAGTAAGATCCCGGCTCTAGTCCATGTTCGATTTCGAAAATATCCAAACTATTATTTTGTCTTTCGTACTTTGTGTATCCTCGGGCCTCCGACATCGGCCTGTCATAATTGGAGGAAAGAATGAAGGCCCGAGTATCATAAATTTTTCGTACTGCCTCCTCAAAAGTAACGGCATGGGAAAACTCTTTGTAGTATGCCGGTCTCACACCTTGTTCCTCGAAACAAGCCAACATGGTTTCCACATTTTCAAGCTGCCTTCCGTGACTCTAACCTCGGCGGGCGAGGTAAGAAGCATTTTACCTATTAGCCCGAGAGATTGCTGAGTTATCGTAGACCTTGCTAGTACCAGAAAGAACTATCTAATACGGTTCATAGCATCAAACTCATCTCTAATTCTTTGAGTTTTGAAAGCTTTCTCGAATGCTTCAAGTGCTGGTTCCGTGATAACACGCGTTACATTGACTTTCTAGTGGCCAATCATTATCTTGTCATTTCCAACTAGGTTAGCAGTGCCCATTGAGCCAGGAGTCGCGCCAGAAATTTTCATGATACCTTGTCCTGGTGAATATACACAGGAAACCTTCAGCCAGCATTGCGGCGCGTCCGACCCAAGAAGGGCAATCTGCGAACCAACGTCGCGCTCACATGGCAACGCAAGGAGAAGGAATATTAAAAATATCCTGGTTCGAAGACTAAAGGTGAGGTAAGGTAAGCCCCTGAACAATACCGCCTTTCACGTTCTTGCTAGATCCCGCAGAACCTCGGGGTTGGTATCCTATAGTATGAATTGAGTTTTCTCCGTTGCTTCGTGCATGTTCTTTCGGTTGATATTAGGTTCAGCTCATGTTTCTTCTGTCCCTCGTCAGTTAATAGCTTTTTAAATTTTGATTGCTAAGAACCGATTCATCTCCTTGCTATAATACCCCAGCCATTCGGGCGGATATTTGAGCCCAGGGGTTCCCTCGTGCGGGGCGGATAGCGTGAAGGCACCAGATCAAAGGCGTCGTACTCAGATCAATGTTACCATCGTTATCACGGCCGTTGCTACTACTATTATCGCTCTACAGCTTAGGAGGCGGGCGTTTAGGCTGACCCTTGGATACTCGGTCCCGTAATCGCTTCTGGACTTTGCCACCCAGTTCGCGAGCTTTAGATCCTGGCATACAGACGAATATCCTTCAATAGCATATTTCAGAGCTATTAAAGTTGCCTGATATTATTCGTAAATCGTGCCACGGCCTTTAAAAATATGCCTTTCTTGGAGCATCCTTTCTCGCTGTTCGTACCACTCTCCGCAGAGTCCTTCTATCCTAGGCTGCGTATCTCTCTGAAGTGTGCAGCTTTGTCTTGGTATATTGGGCTCGTACTCACAAATAGTTAAACCAATTGGAACTCAAACAAAACTCTTCTCTTTTCTATCTCATAATAAATACACAATTGGCAAATAGGCTTATATAATGGCCTCGGAAATATTCAAGATGAGTCAAAAAATTTGGGTGGTTCATGCAAAAGCTTAGGTAACTGAAAGGGATACCTAGTCTGCTTTTCACGTGACCCGCACCCCTAATCCATGCACGTTACCTTCTTAGGTTAGAGCTGGTCGATGTCCTTAACCGTTGTCTGCCAAACACACTTATCATAGGTATTAGCACCACTTCATCTTGAACGCCTCAATAAGGTGCCATACCCTCAATAGCAGGGAATACAGAATCTTAAGAATCAAAGTCTGCTCTAAACGAAAGACCAACTACACGTTCCGGGCCGAGATGGATTCGAACCAAAGCTCGCCAACGCGAACGGAATCGACCTCGACATTAGTGTTTACGCCCGCTACGTCTATAAGTAGTTCATCAACTGCCAATTCTACTCAGGCCCTCCCCCAGCCACCCATCATGCTGTCCGGCCCGCGCCATGTCACAGCGCTAAATGTCAGCTCATGGAGGACACCATATCCTCGAATTGGCCAGTTCGCCATAAGCTCATCAGAACAGGTCGTCGCCGCCGGCCCTAGTGGCCTTTTCTGCTTCAGACGAGTACGAGATCATGACTCCAAGCCTTGGTCTGAGCCTCGGCCGCTTCCCAATACATCAGCTTTGCTGAATGATTCATCTGTGTCCGGCATAGCAGTCCACGTTTCTCGGGAGTCTGATAAGACTCACCTACATGTGTACTGCGTCTCGCTTGGTGTGCTACATAGCTTTTATCGCTCTGGGGATGACGGTTCCCCGTTTACCGTGAATCCCCGCCCCCCATTATCAAGCCACCGCGTTAGTGGCACGCCGGCTGTCACAGCTCATCCTAAAGACGGTTATAGGGCTTCACAGCGATGGAGTCTAGTTGTTCCTTGTCAGTCAGGTGGTCTACTACACACTTCTTCGGCAACTCATCCCTCCACCAATGGACGTACATATTCCTCACAGAATGAGTGGGACAAAGTAGATCACGTTGCCAAAGATTTGGGCATCATCTCAGCCGTCTCTATCACCACAACACAGACCAAAGCTGAGTATAATAACCCCAGTGCGAAAATCGTAGCGGTGTGCGTTGCAAGGGCCCGACTGCACACACTTGAGGGAGATTTTGGGACAGAATCGTCTAGGTCTAGTGCCTTGTGCTGGAAGGCGCAGGCCTCGACCAGGATTCCTCACCCTGGTGAGGTGACGGGCAACCCTGTCCTTATTAAGAAAGGCGAGATTAAGCCCCAGCTAGACCTACTCGTGCCGTCAGCCGAGGGAGGTGTGTTTCATTTCGTCCGAACGCCGTCTAACCCCGACGAGTGGCACATGATTGCACGCATCACATTTCCCCAGGGGCTTCCAATGGCGTCTTGCTTGGCTGTTATCAATGGCCCTGCTAGTTGGGGCGATCGGAGAAACTTTATAGCTCTTATCCAGAGTGGGGGTCAACTTTACCAAGCTAAAACCCCCGAAAGTGCCACGCCATGGATTGGATCTACTTTTAGACCAATAAGTGTGCCGGGTCCATTCTTTGATTAAGTCGTTCTTACGAAATTCGACGTTATTCTGGCGTAACTTGACTATGGGAAAGCTTAAGTATCCGAAACAATATAAGACTACTGAGGCAACAAAGGTCCTGTAGTATAGTGAGGATAATAACTAGCTCTTATACCTAATATGTCTACCCTACAGGTCGTGTACTTGTGTTCCGTAGGCCACTCGGGCCTAGGCTTTGAACGTGAGGTGATATTCAAAAGGAAGGAGGTGGATTACCGAAATATACCACATACATAGCAGTGTGCTCTATTAATAGAGAGAGAGATGCTTTTTCAAGCCAGTCCCGGTGTGGTGGCCGTTTTATAAGCGCATGAAATAGTGTAGTTGTGTCTTGAATTTTGATGTTGCGCTACTACAACTAATACCATTACTACCGGCTAATACTACATACAGCAGAGCTCCGCTGTTTGCCGCGGCAGCAGATGGTGAAGGCTTCAAACATGGACCATGACAGTCGATGGGCCATAAAGGTTACTGGAGGTAGGGGCAGCAGGCCCACAACAAGATGGTGTGCTAAGACGATAAAATTAAATGTTAGGTAGCTGGCTGATGGGGAGCAGCATTCTAACCCCTAATGCCATGAGGGGTTGCTTAGAATTTCCATGATTTTGTCGTTGCCCTTAGCTACAGATTTGTAGACTGCTGTTCCACGCATCTTACTCGCATACTTGCGACGTAGTTATATAGAAACTCTGGCTCCAATAGACCTATAGCTCTTTTGTGGAATAATCAAACACGTGTAGAAAGTCTCTTAAGTCATTACATACGAAGGCTATAAGCAAGAGGGTAAAAGAATATTGTATGACATAATGGAGGGGGTTAGTGCGGAATCTTGAATTTCTTTCTTAACTTAACTATGCTAACCCAAATGTAGCCTCTAACAGACTGGTTCGTGATGAAGTGTTGATAGACTAGTCAGTTAATGAGGCCCAATGTTCGCAATATCATTTGAG